CGGGCTGCGGAACTATATGGCGGAACTCAAAAGGAACAAAGGTTTCACCTTACCCATTGAGCAAGACAGTCTGATCAACGAAGCATAAGCACCACCACCAAGGAACCCAGTGTATGTCACAAATCGAGAACCAGGCAACGAAGGATAAGAATAAATTCTGCTCATCCCCAGACCCAAACTCCTGCTATGCATACCCCTACACACCCTGCACCTTCCGATAACTCGGCGGCTTGAGCGTCCTCCTCAACAACTTAACCGCATAAGGCGGCACAAGACTAATCGCCGCAATAACCGCAAACTTCCACCAAAACGCCACACTGCCCACGTACTCGAGATCAAAGTACTCCGTCAAAAACGGCACAGAACCAAAGTAAATCGCCGCCGTACCCACAATACTAGCAATCATAATCCAATGCCACGTCGTAACCTCCATAGCCACCATAACAAGCTCATTAACGATAAGCACGGAGAAACTGACACTGACCATCTTGAGGAAAGTGGGGTCAGGTGCCGCAGGCGGTGTTGTGGATGTTCCCACGCCGATGAGGAGTTGAGAGAGACCCTGTATAATGGAGCCCTGGTAGACAGAAACCGCGACCCAGATGAAGAAAGATTTATAGCTCAGACTACGTCCTGTTTTGAGTTCAGCGTACAGTTCCGGGTAGAGGTTCGCCACGCTCTCGTCGACATCGCGGTCTAGCACGAGAGAGAACACAGGCATCATGGTGTAAATCGTGCTGTAGCCGACGAGCAAAAAGTCTTTGTATAGAGCGTTGGGCTCAAAGCTGCTGGCGATTGAGAAGACGGTTTGGCAGATACTGATGATGAGACCGCGGTGGATGACGAATTGACTTAGTTTCGCGGAGCGCTTGTAGCTGTTGCGGCCGTGCCAGACCAGCAGTTTGACGAGGTAGCAGAACTGTTCGATGGAGAAGTCGGCTGCGAGAGAGGCTTGGCGGCCCTCTTTTCCTACGATGCCGACGCCTACGTCTGCGGCTTGGATCATGGAGACGTCGTTGCCGCCGTCGCCGATGCAGCATACGCGCTTCTTCGTGAACTCGCGGATGAGGCGTGCGACGTCGGCTTTTTGGGTGGGCGAGCATCGGCAGGCTACTACGGTGGGGAGTTGCACGGCGACGGTGATGAATTCTTGACGGAAGTGTTGGAGGAATAGCGCGAGTGATTCGCCGTCGATGAGGAGGCAGGCGTCTAGTTTTCCCCGGAGGAAGTCGAGGGACGAAGAAGCCAGGTCTTTGCGCTTTAGCTTGGCGATGGTGTGGACATATTGGCCGCGGGCTACGAGTTTGGAGGAGACGGCTACGCAGCGGGCTGTTTCTACCTTGTCGCCTGTCAACATCCAGATTTTGATACCTGCGTTGCGGAGGAGTTCGAGGGAGGGTTTGACGTCTTTTTGTAGCTTGTCTTCGACACCGGTGACACCGAGAAGTTCCAGGTCGTTCTCTAGATACTCCTTTACGACGTTGGCGACGGCGGCATCACGGTTGTTGAGGGCAAGCGAGGCCTGGGCATGCTTGGTGGAGAAGTCTTGGTAGATCTGCGCGGAGAGCTTCTTGCGGCCGACGACCAGTGTTCGGAGACCTTCCCGGGCCATGTTGGCTGTCTCTTCGTCGAGCCAGTCGTTGGCGGCAACAATGGAGGTCATGACAGTGTCGGCACCCTTCTGATAGAACCATATCTCGCCACTATCATCAGAGGGTGATGATACTGGGCCCTGATAGAACTTCACGACAATACCCATGCGCTTGCCTTCTGATGTGAATGGAAAGACATTCAAAATGCGCACTTTGACAACAGTGTTCCCGCTGTCGCATGATAGGAGAGTCATAGATTCGCGGTCGCGAGACAAGAGCTTCAAGCCAACAGCCTCGGTCCATCTGACGATGGCAATCTCATCGGGAGATGAGGCTTGGTATGTAGTCACTGTCTCCCCGTTCTCTTCTTCAGTTGTCGGCGTTACATTATGGCAGAGGGCTAGGGCTAGCACAACATCGCGGACCCGGGATCCAATCTCTCGGCGCGTACGAGTGGCTGAGGTGAGAGGTGCGATGTATGCAGAAGAAGGCGTGACAAGTGATGGGGCTTCACCGGCGGGTGGTGCGAAGCACTGGTGAACGTATGATGACACCTCGTCCATGGCCTCGTTTGCGTAGGAGACTGTGCCGACGTGAATCTTCTTCATGACCATCTCTACGTACTGTTAGTAGTGTCGAGATTACTTCATGGTTGAACATACCATTCTGTGTCAGAGTACCTGTCTTGTCGCTCAACAAGTACTCAATGCGACCCAGGTCTTCTGGGATTGTGCTAGTCCGAACGATAGTGCCTTTGATGCTTTCATCATGCTGTATGAACCATGCATAGACCGACTTGCCCATATCGAGATTGACACGCAGACCTACTGGGACAATAGTGGAGAACAGAATGAGGAATCTCAGCATTGACGCCCACCATTGGCGGCCTTCGATGACCTGGAATCGCGCGAGTGCCACTAGGATGAAAGAGAGCGAGAGGGTGAAGATACATAGCCACTTGGTCAGAGAGTTTATCTCTAATTCAAGCAGACCAGTCTTGGATCTTGAAGGCGATGTAGAAAGCGCTTGACGAGTTTGTGGGCCGGTGTACACGACCACAGCCAGTAGACTGCAGCTTGATGCAACGACAGTATTCGCCCAGATGGTGTTGTCGATGTTCAAGGGTGCTGACTGCACTTCTGTGGGGGATGTCGTTTCTTCGTTATCATGAGGGTCATAATGTCGCTGTGTCTTGGGTGGCAGTTCAACGGTTCCGTAGAACTCATTGACCTTCTTGTCCGGTTTGCCGGCCACGACGCGGAGCCGGGTGTACTCGCCAATATCCAGATTCTGTGTAAGTGGCGAGGTCAGGCGCAGCTTCCAGTCGGTTTCACCGTCCAACTGATCTGTTCGGATGAAGGCTTCTCCCGAGGTTCCAGAAGCTGTGGCACTGTCAACCTTGGCCGTGTCGCCGGTGTCCATGCCATCAATAAGCGCAGCCGATGAACTTTGCGCCTTGGTGTCATCTTCAATAGGCGCTGCATTTTCGCTGGAGTAGCTCTTGAGGAGCACCATGTCGGCAGGCACTCGCTGGTCCTTGCCGAGTTTCACGACGTCTCCAACTCTGAGGCTCCGAGAGGGTTTCACAACTTCCCAGTAGGTGCATGTCGCCAGGCCCTTGCCCGAAAGTCGCTGCTCCTCGTCATCAATGTCTGCCAACCGACCCTCGTCCTTGGGCTGCTTCCTCAGGCGCTTCTTCCTCTGCGAGTTCTTTCCGGGCGCGACGCCGTTCCCGAGGCTGTTCTCCTCAAACTTCAGAACGGTGTAACCCTCCGAGTTTGCTTCTGCGTCTCTCCGCCGTCGAGCAATATCATCCATAGCCTCTTTACTCAGCGTTATCGTCAAGACGAAAGCCAGCGGTGCGATGTATGTCGACAGGTAGCCGATTCGGAGGACGGGTATGACCTGCGATAGGGCGACGAGCAGAAAGTACATGTTGATGAAGAAGGAGAACTCATTGTAGAGGGTGCGTGGGAGGAAACTCCACGGGGTGTATTTGGCATTCGACACGGCGTTCGCGGGGAATCTCGAGGTCTGAAGCTGGCCGACGGAGATGGTGCGCTGGGTGGTGGGATCGTGCTCCTCGTCGGCATCCGACTCTCCAGCGTCGTCGCCTAACTGTATGGGGGCGTTGTTCTGGCGTGAGAGGAAGCTGGGCAGGCGCATGTTGGAGCCCAGGCGGGAAAGAGCGCTCGGGGGTGGCTGCCGTCTTCTCCGTGGTGTGTGCTGTTCAGGCAAGAGCGGCGAGTCGTCATCGCCCGACTGGCCATAACTGCCAGCAGAGTCTCTCTTGGACCCTTCATCGTCGTCCAGCAGCCCTCTTAGGTCGTCCTCTTCCGGCTCTTCCTTCTTCTTGCTCGCGCGCAGCCTGCCGACTCTGAGATTCCTCAGCGGTATCCTCGCGCCCAGCTCATGGTATGGCCGTCGTTGCTCCTTGGACTGGCGCCGTGGTGGTGTAGCGGCGGACTGGGAGCGGGAGGCCAGAGGGTCCAGCTCCTCTAGGTCGAGTTCCAGGTCCGAGTCCTCGTCGGGCGCATTCGGCTGGTGGTACTGGTGGGGAGCGGCCATGGCTCATGGGCGGGCGAAGCGAATGCTGGCTAGTTCCGCCTCATGTGCGACGGGCTGGGTGTGGTTATGGCTGCGAGGGTTGCCTTCGGGGGTCCGCGGCGTTTCGGGGGTGTCTGAATGGGCTGTCTGGGCGACTCGATGTTTTGTTTCGGCGGCCGAGCGCTGTTTGGGCCGTGTCAATGGTGTATGACGTAGTCCCCGAGAATAGTAGGTGTCGCAGAGGGAAGGGCGGTATGTGAATAGTAGAGTCCATCAATATGTGTCTCGACGTCGCGTCACTCATAGCTGTGTGGCGCAGGCGCAGGGCTGTGGCTAGAGGACAGGGTTGCCGCGGCGGGCCGTTTCAATGTCCAACCTTGGGCGCGGGAACAGCTGGCCAGATCGCTTTCCCACCCTTCCTGCCAGATTACCTACGATGCGCCCGGGGATCGCCTCCGATATTTGATTCTCGCTGCCTTCCTGGACGAAGATCGCGACTTTCGCAGTTGTGCGACACGCAGAGCCCATGCTCTTCTGCTTCTCTAGAGGTACGTAGCCATGTTCTCCGTCTCTGACGTAGAAAGGGATGGCGATTACGCCTCTTGCGGGTCGCGTTCAAGTCACCGTTGCGCCTTCCTTTCACGCTCAGTCATATGCACTTGCGTTTACACAAACTCCTCTCTCCTGCATAATTCTCCTCGGTTTGCATATTTTGTCCCACGAGGCGTCTACCGTGGCATGTCAGACCTCGCTTCACCACCCCGACCGAGGCCCAACCTTCTGGCCACGGACCCCCAATTCCAGTGCTGACTGCCTGTGCAGTACTTGTAGATACCCTTTGAATTACCTAATTATCCCATAATGGACGAAGACGGCCCCAACTTTTCCTACGCCTACGGTGGCGCGCCTCCCACCCCCTCCACAGCCTCGAACGCATCATGGAATCCCGCACTGCGCAACGAGAAGGAAGCGAGTGCACCACCTAGCGCGAAACCCACGAATCAGTTCGCACAAACCAAACCAGAGTCGTCAGAGGAAGACGACGAGGAAGAGGATGACAGTGAGGAAGCGGATGAGGAGGAGGACGACGATGAAGAATCGGAAGAGGAGAGCGAGGACGAAGAGACTCCTTCAAGGCCTGCAGTAGCTGCACCCCTCGCACCGGTACCGGCAGCCAAGCCCGCGCCCGAAGTAGCAGAGACCGATGAGTCTACTGCGCCCGACGACACTATACAAGCGCCACCAAGCGCAGAAGCACCTCAATATCTCGAGCCCCTGGAGGGTGGAGCAGACGGTGCCGACGATGAAGATCTCGCCAGTGCCACGCAGGCACTCAATATTACCGAATCACAAGCGACACCAGCAAAAGCCGAATCAAGTGAGGAGGAAGACTCTGACTCTGAAGATGAGAGCGAAGACTCGCGACCTGCAGTGCAGATACAACGGGAAGAAAGCTCAGAAGAAAGTTCAGAAGAAGAGGCGGAACCCGAACAGCATCCCGAGGAGAACTACGAGCACCAAGGAGAGACCACAGCTCTGGAGGATGCTATGACGGATAGTGTCAAAGTGCCTTTGGTAGCAGACACGGAGGCTGATGAATGGGGCGCGTCCGGCGACGACCCCTTCGATCTTGGTGGGAAACCACAAGAACCTCCTCTGGAGACACCCGTGGCGGAGGCTGTTGGGACGACCGTCGGAGACGACACTATCGGAAATACCACAGTAGGCGGAAACACCGGAGCCGACATCGACTGGGGCAATTCGGAAGAGCAGGAAGATTTCTTTGGTTTGGGCGCGAGCCAGCAGATCGAACCTGCGCAGGCGGTAGACCAAAGTCCTGGCGCGCATGTGGTACAGGCCGAAACAAAAGCTCCCGAGAAGAACGAGTGGGATCTGGATCTTGACCTGGACGACGACTTCTTGCCTGACCAAGAAGAAGCACCCGTCATTGAGTTGAGCGACGACGAAGGCTTCCTCGAAGATGAAGCGCCAGCACCCGCACAGCAACCAACGCAAGCCGCTCCTTCAGGAACCGCAAGCCGATATGCTCCCCAAACTCCTGCAGTCGCACCTACGCCTGCCCCAGCGGCGAACCCGTATGCCCCTCAGTCGCAGCCCGCGGTGGCACCAGCTTATGATGGCTTTGGACGGAATATGGCTTTCCAGCAGCAACAGCAGCAGCAACCACCTCGACCACCAATGGCGAGTTCAGCGCAAAGCTTCGTAGACAAGTCCAAAGGAGGTTATGCTTCGCCATATGATCTGCCGGAAGATATCGTAACTACCCGAAAGCGACCAGCTCCTCGAACAACAGTGTCTGCTATACAGCCAACCCCACCACCCCCGCGAACTAGCAGTATGTCTTCGAACGCGGGGCCTCCGCGGCCGCCATTGTCGTCGAGCATGTCAGTTGCTAGTCTGTCTCCACCCTCATCAGGCCACTCCATGCGGTCTCAGATGACCGGCATGCCACCACCGGCCGCACCTCCAAAACCCGCGGTCACAGCAAAATCACCATCGAGTGACTTCTTCGCCGAACTGCCTGTTACTTCCAAGCCTCGCCCATCTGGACGCTACACCCCGCAACCGAATATGCCTGTTCAACCTCCAGTCAGCCATCCTCCCCCGCAACTTCCTCCAAAGGAGCGCACCGCTTCAACCTCGTCCTTACGGAATGAGTTCATCCCAGATGCCGCCAAAGTCGCTACTCCTCCTCCCTTCAGACAACCAGAACAATTGGCCATGTTCCCTACCCAGCCATCGGTACCTGCGCGAACAAACAGCCTTCCCGTTCCTCAGCCAGTGCAAGCGCCTCCTTCCACGAGCAGATACTCTCCCGCTCCGCCTCCGTCAGGACCAGCTGCCAATTCACGGTACTCTCCTGCGCCCCCAAGTGCACCAGCGGCGAACCCGCGATACTCGCCCGCGCCTCCGCCAGGACAGCCTCATGCTCGTTATCAGTCCGAGCCGCATAACAACTTGACCCGGACTCCTTCACAGCCTTTCGCGCCCCGTACTTCCAGCCCGCTAGCCTTTCATAGCATGCCCCATCAGCAGGAGCAAGCCCCCGAGAACAATGCTCAATATCCTCCAAACCATCAGGTCACGCAATCGGCTGATGGAATGCCCCGTCCACCATTCAGAAGCCCACTGGGTGAGGTTAGCGAGATTGAAGAGCAGGAGCCAATTCTGAGTTCGAGGCCGCCTACTGGACGATCAGAGACGCCACCTCTAAGAAGTACACCTTCATCAGCAGTCGGCTCACCACGGAAGACCGATGGCTATGCACCAAGATACCAGCCGGCCCAGCCGGCCGTCCCACAACGCTCTCATTCACAATCTCCAACAGCGACTATGAAGCAGCCTGCATACAGTATGATGCCTTCGTCTTCAGTCTACGGCGGCCGGCCTACTACTTCAAGCTCGGTCAACGTCATCCCCCATCGTCGACAGGCGTCAGTCAACTACGACTTCATTGTCCCCGAAGACGAGCGCTCGGCAGACCCACTCGAAAGATGGAAGGGTCATCCTGTGTTCACATGGGGCCTAGGAGGCAATGTTGTCACGAGCTTCCCTAAGCAGATTCCTCGCTACGGAGGTGGCGGATCAGCGCCGATGATAAAGAGTAGCCCTGGTGAGATTCGCATCCAGAGTGTCAAGGAGGTTCTCCCTCTGCCAGAAGACGTTGCCAAGTTCCCTGGTCCCCTCAAGGCCAAGGGCAAGAAGAAGGATGTGTCAGCATGGCTTGGCCGTAAAATCGAAGCACTTGAGAACCAGTCTAAAGAGCCAGGACTCGAACACACTATGAACGAAGACGAGTTGAAGCGCGTGGATGATCGCATCCTCCTTTGGAAACTCATGCAAGCATTGGTCGATAATGATGGCAAATTGGAGGGTACTCCTGCAGAAGCCGCTGTCAAGAAGCTGCTACTACCTCCAGGTGACGAGACATCTGACGAAGCCGGTTCATATTCGACGGCAGCGGACATTGTCGGACGCTCAAGATCCAACACCTCCAACCTCCAGGCAGAGCCCATCGATCCCCGCGCTGTTGAAGATCTGCAGGGCATGCTTGTCAAGGGTGATCGCGAGAAGGCTGTCTGGCATGCTGTTGACCAGCGCTTATGGGGCCATGCGATGCTGCTGTCTTCTACTCTCAGCAAGGACATATGGAAGCAGGTTGTCCAAGAATTCGTTCGAAAAGAAGTCAAGAAGGCTGGACGCAACAACCAGGCGCTGGCTGTATTGTACGAAGTCTTTGCTGGTAACCACGAGGACTGTATTGACGAACTGGTACCTGCTTCGGCTCGTGCCGGATTCCAGATGGTGAGCGCTGATGGTGTTGGCGCAACCCAGAACGCACTCCAGGGTCTAGACAAGTGGCGGGAGACAGTTGCGCTGATTCTGAATAACCGTAGCGAAGGTGACGCATCAGCGCTACTCTCACTTGGAAGGCTTCTGGCTCAATACGGTCGCATTGAAGCTGCACATGTGTGCTTGATCATCGCGCGTTCGGTTCTGAAAGTCAGCGGAGTCGATGACCCGCAGGCTGATCTTGTTCTGATCAGCGCTGACCATCGTCTCAACCCTCTGGAGATGGGTGTCGAGATGGAGCCAATATTGCTGACCGAGGTATACGAATTCGCGCTATCGCTGTCATCTCCCAGCGGCTCGTATGTCATTCCTCATTTGCAAAACTACAAACTTGCACATGCATATCAACTCGCCGAGAATGGGTACCGGACAGACGCACAGGCATATTGCGATGCCATTGCAGCGGCAATGAAGGCTACAACTCAGACCTCGCTATACTACAACGCTGCTTTCATCGCCAGTCTTGACGATCTGAGCAAGCGACTGTCGCAGTCTCCGAAGGATGGATCGTCATCGTGGATCTCGAAGCCTAGCATGGACAAGGTTGGAAGCTCGCTTCTATCAAAGTTCAACAGCTTCATTGCAGGAGACGACGAGGACAACACAGCCAACAAGTCTGGTGGGCCAGACGGACCTTTCGCTAAGATCGCTGGTAATAGCCCATCCCTCACGCCCTCACAATCGAGCACTGATCTCTACGGCGCAATGTCTGGCTATGGCGCTCCAACGCAACCACCTGTTCCCGGCAACTCAAGGTATGCACCATCGAACGCGTACGCACCAAGGTCGTCTTCAGAGCAGCAACGATCTCGTTATGAGCCTCAAGGTCGACCATCGATGGAATCGAACGACAGCTTCGGCGTGCGCGCAGCATCTGACACCTATACGCCTATGACACCTACGTCAAACGTGTACAGCCCAACTCAAAATCAACTGAGCCCACCGAGTGCACGCACGGCAGCCAAGGCACAGTCGTACTCACCCCTTCGTCCGGAGTACAGCCCAGCTCAGCCATCCTTCGGTAGTCCTTATATGCCCACACCACCTGTCGGAGAGCCTTCTCTGGCCCCTGCATTTGGTGGCTATCAGCCTCAAGCGAACTCAGATGAGCCGACAGCAAACGAGCTCACCTACGATCGATACGGACCTTCGTCATCCACCTTTGAGCCTCCAGCGTACCAGCCATACAATCCGGATGAGGATGACAAGGAAGATGACAAGCAGATATCAAAGAAGAAGTCTTTTATGGATCTTGACGACGATGACGACCTTGCTGCCCGCGCCTCGGCCTTGAAGATTAGTGGAGGCAGCAGCTCCAAATCAGACGCAGACAAAAAGGCAGATGAGGCATTCCGCAAAGCCGCCGAAGCAGACGCTCAACGCGACAAGGAAGCTGCAGCAGCAAAGAAGGGAGGATGGCTGTCTGGGTGGTTTAAGAAAGATCCCAACGCCGGTCCCGGTCCCATCAAGGCCAAGCTGGGAGAAGAGAGCAGTTTCTACTATGACACAGATCTTGGCAAGTGGGTAAACAAGAAGGGCGGCGCGGCAGACACGGGTAAGCCCGCTGCAACACCACCACCTCCACGTGCTGGACCTCCCGGCGGCGGAGCTCGAAGTGCCTCAGGTAGCGCCGCACCCACACCGCCTATGGGTCCTCCCGGCGCAGGTGCACTGCGTCCACCTACTTCCAACCCCCGCTCGTCGTCGCTGCCGCCGCCAATGGGTGTCGCAGGCTCCCGCGCTTCTACACCCGGCATCCCAGAATCCGACGAAGAGGGTTTCGCTGGACCCAAGCCACCTACGCTGGCTAGACCCAGCTTCGGTGCTGCATCCGGACCGCCATCACGGCCGGGCACTGGTATGAGCAATGCTAGTAGTATTGACGATTTGCTCGGCGCTCCGCAGGCGAGAAAGGGCCCCGCGGGTAAGAAGAAGAAGGGTGGACGCTACGTCGATGTCATGGCCAAGTAAAAACATTACGGGAAACGATCAAGATATGGAAACGGAGATAGATGACCGTTATCAGGACGCACATGTCAGGGATGAACAGCATGGTTGTCATGAAGGATTCGGGCGCGGCATACAGGTGTTCCTGCATTAGAAGGAGTAAATGCATTAGTCTCGCATCCCGAGCCCATGTCTCGGGTTTCGAAACACAATTGTACTATTATATTATCATTGTACTCTATCCTATCATGCGCACCATCACTTCAGTATCGCAATCGTGATAAACGTGTCGTGTGTCCCACCCCGGGGGGCGGCCCCAGCCTGTCCACTTTCCTCCCTCCACAAAAGATACGAAGAACGGCCTTTTGCTCGGAGCTGTTGCTGGCTGGGCGTTGACCATGTGGCCCACTGGGGGCCGATTGGGCTGGCGGTGGTCGACCCCACAAGAACGGCAAACACACCCGATTACGGAGATGACGCATTGTCCGGCTAGTTGATCGGTGACATGCGCTTTCGCGTGGTCGGTATCGCCAGGGTCTGGCGATGGTTACACGCGCTGCGCGCAATGGCTATCGTGCAGTGGACTCGAGTGTCTTGTTCTTATCGTTGTCGCTTACTTGATGTGTGGTATATGCATGTTGTTGGGTGGGTAGTTTCTCGGTGCCATATCAGCACAGCTAGCCAGCCCTGTCGACGCCTATCTCCCCGACTCCGACTCGTGCTGTGGAGCGAACGATTGCAGCGTCGCATTCGCAGCTCTCCCAGCTCCCAAGACCGCTAGGATTAGTATTAGTCAGTCTAGCCCTTTGGTGGGCTTGAGCCAGCTGCGGGGAATTCGGCGGCGCTCGCGTGGTCATCTTTTTTATCTTGGGTTTTCGTGTTCCTTATCCTGTTGACTGATGCTATAGCCCTGCTGCCGCGCTGTTATCGCGGTGTTGTTTTTGTTCTTATACTGGACCGTTCCGAGGTTGCGACATCACGATACGGTGTTTCTAGGTCGTCGCATTTCCCATCGCAGCGCAAGGATTCGACGCGCAGTAAGAGTTGGTTTTCTGGATTGATCGTGGTATACCTGGACAAAGCGAGACAATCATGGCGAAGAGCGTTTCCGTGACCGAAGGCGGAGCAGGAGGAGGACAAGATGCCACACGAAGACGGGCTTCGATCAACGACCCGGGCGCCGACGCTGCCCTGGCGAAAATGGGCTACCAATCTGAACTCCCACGGAATCTGAGCATGCTGAGCGTCCTCGGCATGTCGTTTGCCATCATGGCCGTTCCATTCGGCCTCTCAACAACACTCTACATTACGCTTACGGACGGGCAATCGGTGACTGTGCTCTACGGCTGGATCCTCGTCTCCCTCATCTCGCTCGCCATCGCTGCGTCCCTCGCTGAGATCTGCGCTGTTTACCCCACAGCCGGCGGCGTGTACTACTGGTCCGCCATGCTCTCCACGCGCGAATGGGCGCCCATCGCGTCGTGGGTAACGGGCTGGTTGACCTTGGTTGGAAACTGGACGGTTACGCTTTCGATCAATTTCTCCGGTGGCCAACTCATCTTATCGGCTATTACGCTGTGGAACGAGGACTTCGTGCCGAATGAGTGGCAGACTGTTCTCGCGTTTTGGGCGGTCATGCTGATTTGCATGGCGATTAATATCTTCGGGGCGAAGCATCTCGATCTGATCAATAAGATTTGTATTTATTGGACGGCGACGAGTGTGGTGGTTATCATGGTTGTGCTGTTGACGATGGCGGATACGAAGAGGGATGCGGAGTTTGTGTTTGCGCATTATGATGCTAGTCAGAGTGGATGGTATGTTGTCTTGATATGGAATATGAGACAGTTGGGCTAACTCTTCTGCTAGGCCATCAGGATGGGCTTTCTTCGTCGGTCTCCTGCAAGCTGCATACACGCTGACAGGCTACGGCATGGTCGCCGCCATGTGCGAAGAAGTCTCGAACCCGTCCCGCGAAGTCCCCAAAGCCATTGTTCTCTCCGTCGCAGCAGCCGGTGTCACAGGAGTCATCTACCTGATCCCCATTCTCTTCGTCCTTCCCGACGTACAACTCCTCCTCGACGTCGCCAATGGCCAACCCATTGGCCTGCTGTTCAAGACCGTCACCGGTAGTGCAGGCGGCGGCTTCGGCCTCCTCTTCCTCATCCTCGGCATCCTCTTCTTCGCTGGCACAGGCGCGCTAACTGCTGCATCACGCTGCACCTATGCGTTTGCTCGCGACGGCGCTATCCCCGGTTCGCGACTCTGGGCCAAGGTAGACAAGCGCTTTGACATCCCGCTCATGGCGCTCGTCCTCTCTACAGTCGTCGACTGCCTCCTCGGCCTCATCTACTTCGGCTCCTCCGCCGCGTTCAACTCCTTCACCGGCGTTGCTACAATTTGCCTCTCCACCTCGTACGGCATGCCCATCCTCATCTCTGTGCTGCGCGGCCGCAGAGCAGTCAAACACTCGTCCTTCTCGCTCGGCCGCTTCGGCTACGCCATCAACATCGCTATGATTGCGTGGATCTGCCTTGCTGTTGTGCTATTCTGTATGCCGGTTAGTCTGCCCGTTGAGCCTGCTACCATGAACTATGCGAGTGTGGTCTTTGCGGGTTTCGCGGCGATTAGTGTGGCGTGGTACTTCATCAGTGGTAGGAAGGAGTTTTCGGGCCCGCCTGTGCCGACGGATGCTGAGCCTGGGGAGGAGACTGTTGTTGCGGGATTGGCGGTGCAGGATAGTCGGCAGGATATTGAGGGCAAGGGCGATATGGATAAGGGTGTAGAACACGATAAGGTGTATTGAGTGGGAGATGTGATAGAGGTTTATGTACTTTGAGACTGTTTGGTATTATACTTTCTATAATCTAGAGCTCACACGAAAACTTGCAATCTGAGCTGCTGTGTCGAGTAAATCCCTCGATGTCGTGACTAGAAGAACGGATGATTTCCGCTCTAAGGTGAAGGGTGACGCCACAGGACGCTAAGCCACGGCTAGCGGGGGTACGCGGTTACGCGATCCACGGTTGGTCGCAAAGCATTCAACGCGACAAGCACCATCTCTCCCATGGACGTGTTGCCTGCCGCTGAGACTGATGGAAATGAGGTGAGTGCTTCTCTCAGTAGTGATATCCTCTTGTCATATCGTGTAATTTCTCATAGTTGAACATGCGGTGCGATAGAGTAAAGGAGTCGACTAACATGTGCAGCGACTGGCGACATTCCATAGTCGACCTCACCTACGATGACGACGATGCAGAGAGCGACGAGGGCCCGCTGTCCTCGTTGCCCTTGGCGACTGCCACACCGACTCACTCACTCACCTCCATGAGCGCGCCCTTGCCTCAACCACCCTCATCGCGGCCACCTCCTCCTACGACGCGACCCGCACCTGCATACGTAAACCCATACCCTCCGCTACCTGGAACCATGCCGAAAGCGACAAATTCGGCGAGTATGGGACGCCTTGGCCTGGCACCTAACACTTACGTGCCGGTTCCTGGCCAGCCCAGCAATGGAGCAACCGACTCAAGGGCAGCGAAAAGAATCAAGACATCAGACGGCGCCTCCAGATCGTCAACACCACCTGCAAAGAAGCCGACTCCAAGCAGAGGGATACCGCCGGCAGCGCAAGCCGCCACACTGGGCAAGTACAAGCTCAACGCCTGGGCAGCGGAATCCCGTGCGGCAGTACCTCCTCCAAGTGCCACACCGAAGCCCAGCGCTACCAATGCCAACAAAGCTCCATCCGTTCAGGATATCAACAAGGCGCTAAAGACGAATGCTGCGCCTATGCTCAACGGTGTCAGGACATCCAGTCCGCGCGCGCTTCACATTGGTCGCCGGCCAGGTAGCAGCTCAGGTCCAGTCAGTGCAGCACCACCGACACGAGAGATACCACGAACGTCACAGGCACCGGCCATTCGACAACAACAATCCCGTGAAGCGACTGCATACAATGGAGCGAGTGCGGACATGCCAACTAGAGGCCCAGGGAGACCGCGCAGTCGCCCTTCGCCAGGTGCAGGCAACGTCCCATCAAGGCCGAACTACTTCGCGGGCCCTGCGAAGGAGCAGATTCCAGATGAAGATGGAGATAGCGTCATGTCCGATGTCTCGTCCTCAGCAGACTCTGTGCCGCAACAGCCATCGGACAAGGTGAAGAGCGGAAATGTCCATCATGGTCTCGGGCCAGCAGTCGCTGCATTCCACTCATCTACCCTCCCTAAGGGCGCGGATGTACCTGCACCGCCACCTTCCACTGGACGCAAGAAAACCATGAATCCGTTCGATACGGCCCAAGATAATTACCTTATCTTTCTCAAAGAGGTCAAACAGTTCACATGGGCACAAATCACAGCGGAGTACAACACCGACATGTCTTACCGTCCATATGCAGCACTTCAGTCTCGCTACTCGACCTTCCTCAATAAGAGGGACCGATCTCAAGATCCCTCAACGTTGATCTTGCCCCCTCGGTGGGCTGCAGAGGCGGATGTTGACTGGAATGCCATCCGTAGTACCAGCGCTCCATCAAGAGGGCCGAGGAGCAACCTGCCCGCTTCGCAATCTCACCAACCTAAACGCCAGGAGCAGGCAGTGCCGAAACACCTACCAGTTCAACAGACAATCGAACACGACTACTCCTCAGGGGGAGACTCTGCACCTCGGCGAGAGCGATCGCGTCGGACACAGCGAGTCAATTACACATGGCCAAAGCAGCGGGGTGTCCCGGCAGCTGGGATCGAAGAGGAGTTCATGGAAGACAACTACGAAGCCTTCGCGGACGATTTTGGTCACGCTCGGTCAGAGACGTCTCCAGAGGACGATATTCCTCTGCCTAGTAAGGCGATCGCCGTCGAGAACGAACCTGTAGACGTTCATTTCAATGCAGATGATGCTGAAATAGGATTGAGTCTCCGACGTGCGAAGTCGCGCAAGGGAAGGACCAAGAAAGTGCCATATCTCAGCACTTCGCAACGCCTGTCAGTACAAAACCCGCCTGCAGGGGACTGGGACCAGTTGTCTAGTCGCGATTGGCAAGGAACTCTAGTACATGTCGACTTTAGCCCAGACGAGATCGCTTCGGTAGAGAAGGCTATTGCATTGACGAGAAGAACCACACCCACAATATCACGGCACCGCACAAAAGGAAGGCAGCTACGCGAAAACTTGAAGGCTTTTACAGAACCGCAGATCCTTCGACTGATCGAAAGCCTCCTTCATCGTTTGCCTTGCCGCGATCGGAGCAGCATCCAAGCCTTTGTACAAGATGCATTAGCCGGCGATGTTGCAGAAGTACCGCAAATACAGAGGCTTGCAGCTGCGCGACCTGACACAGAGATGCAATCAACCCAGAAGCAGTCCACAACCTCGATCATCCGTCAACGTGAGCTAGGCCTCCAGTCCAGAAGAGGCTGGCATAGTGCGTCAAATCCGCTTACCTACCAGGTCAAGAACAAGTATATGGATACCATGGGACCGGCAGCTTGCTGGACGGGCGCATCAAGCGACATCCACACTGTTGCATGGGCGCCGGACGGTGAGCACTTTGCTGCTGGTGCTGTGGCTGTTGACGATCCAGACTCGATGCAGTACAATCGGCCGAACAACCTCCTCTTTGGTAGTGCCGTGGATGGCACAATCCATGAATTAGCAGAGCATTATAAGATTCGCGAGAAGACTGAGTCTGGCGCCAATTCAAGTCACGCCATGTTCGCCTCCCAAGACCCAAAGCTCTACACTACCGTTAGCTCGGTAGCGTTCTCGAATACCAGTCCGTACATGTACTCGTCAGGTTACGACGGACATATCGGTATTTGGAGAACAGACCTAGAGGCAACGCAGCCAATGCTAACTACGAAGCTCAACGTGAAAGACCATATCGATATCTTGTCAGTCAACCCTGTGAAATCTGGTGTTATAGCAACGGCAGCGAAGGTCTTCAATGAGAAGGCTATAAGGGTACTCAAGATAGACGAAGCGGAGCCATGGAACTTTACCAACTCGAAATTTCACTCAAACAAGGCTGTCGCGCGTGCAGATCTGAGGATTCTCCCTTCTGCTCTTCAATTCGAACCGACATGTGGCGGGCTTCTTCTTGCAGGCTTCGGTGCCAACCTGAAGGATACAGGCCTTGATATGACTGGCGATCTCTGCTTGTGGGATGTCGAAACGCAGACCCCATACAACATTCATGGATCCAACAAGAACATTTTCGATGTCACCTTCAATCCGAACCGCTCCAGCATGCCAATGTTTGCTGCCGGCTGCGTAGCAACAGGTTCCACTGTGAATCGCGGTACACGCTCAACGGTCCGCCTCTACGACGTAAGAGATGACACCAAGTTCACCTGTCCCTTGGAGTTTGAGTGCAAAGCTCTGGATATGAACGACGTAATCTGGTGCCCACATGACGAGCGACTCATCGCAGCTGGCTGTACAGACGGAAAGGTCTATGTCTGGGATGCGCGTATGCCAGATGATCCTCTGCGCATCCTCTCTCACGGCAGCTCTCTAATGCCCCTCCAAGAGGGAATCAAGCATGAGATTACAGACACCGGCATACGGTTCTTATCATGGGGCGAGAATGCCACTCGGCTTTACTCAGGTTCATCCGACGGTGTGGTCAAGGTCTGGGACGTCACGCGCGCAGAAGAGAACACGTTCATCAAGGACTTAATTACCACAGATTCCGGTATCATGTCTGCAGCTTTTAGTCCAGACTATAGCAAGCTTGTCGTTGGAGAAGTCAATGGCTCAGTCAACGTGCTTGAAGTCGGCAGAGATGACACTACAATCAAGGACGCAAATAGATTACGGTATATGCCTTATCAAGACGATGAACAAGACGACATCCAGGACGAGGATGGCGACATCACTCGTCTAGCACCGGAGTCCGGTATCACTGAAGGCAACTATCTATTACAGACGCAGCAGCTACAAGTTGCGCCTATGGGAAGTCTACCAATCCGACAAGTCGTACAGGGTGTGCACTACGCTGGTCCATTCGATGAGGGTATCGATGCGCCTTTCCTCCGCGAACAAGCACTGCAGTTCCAGCTCGGTCTTACACCGTCGCGAGGCCCTCAGTGTGACATCCCTGCCTGCAAGGACAACCTCAACAAAGTCACGAGCGAGGACGTTGGCGATTCGGGACGAAGCGCAGACCGTATCCCAGACGAACTGCGTCGACAATGGAAGGCTATCGACACTAAAAGCGCCATTATACCCGGCAAATCGAAGTGCACGTACTGTGCCCGCCCTGCCCGCCCGTCTACGACAGACAACAGCGACGTTGTCTTATGTGAGCGCTGCTCTTTCGCTTGCTTCCGCTGTGGCTCCGTCAACCCCATTGCTCCAGCTACCACCACACTCATTTGCGACTCCTGCGCTGGTGTCTGGGACATTGGCGTCCTCGGCTATGAGTGCGTTCAGCAGCCGTATGCTCACAACAGGCACATGCAGTTGGATGTCCCAGCGTTGAAGAGGTGGGGCGAAGAAGCCCATGCAGATCGGCAGGATGACTTCGATACGAATCACGGCGACGAGATGAATGCGCTGACTGACTACTACCTCTCTTTGGCTATCGACCGGCCGGAGAGTCCGCCGTTGTAGGAGCTGACGTTCTAGAGCCTGGCATTGAGGGGATTGGCTGTCGGGAAGAGACTTTGCAGAGGATGTGGAGATGGACACGTGTACATTATATTATGGAAATGAAGAGCGGAATAGTGGGAACAAGCGCCCGCCTATATTGAGCGGCGCTGGCGATGAATGATACCCCATGTTACCTTACTCAGTCAGGCC